CTAATGGGCAGCAATAGATTCTGAACAGACACACATCCAGCGTAATCCACTGCAAAAGTCCTGATGGTGGCCACTTACTTGTTGTTGTTGTTTAGTCATTTAGTCGTGTCCAACTCTTCGTGACCCCATGGATCAGAGCACACCAGGCACTCCTGTCTTCCACTGCCTCCTGCAGTTTGGTCAATCTCATGTTGGTATGTTTGAGAACACTGTCCAACCATCTTGTCCTCTCTCGCCCCTTCTCCTTGTGCCCTCCACCTTTCCCAACATCAGGGTCTTTTCCAGGGAGTCTTCTCTTCTCATGAGGTGGCCAAAGTATTGGAGCCTCAGCTTCAGGATCTGTCCTTCCAGTGAGCACTCAGGGCTGATTTCCTTCAGAAGGGATAGGTGTGATCTTCTTGCAGTCCATGGGACTCTCAAGAGTCTCCTCCAGCACCATAATTCAAAAGAATCAATTCTTCGGCAATCAGCCTTCTTTATAGTCCAGCTTTCACTTCCATACATCACTACTGGGAAAACCATAGCTTTAACTATACGGACCTTTGTTGGCAAGGTGATGTCTCTGCTTTTTAAGATGTCACTGCCTTGCCATGGCGAAGGGTCTTGAATAACTCAGAGAAGCTATGAGCTATGCAGTCCAGCACCACCCAAGACGGACAGGTCATAGTGGAGAGTTTTGACCAAACGTGATCCACCTGGAGCAGGAACCGGCAAGCCACTCCAGTATCCCTGCCAAGAAAACTCCATGGACAAAGACAACAGGCCACAGCTATTTCCCACAAGAGTTAAATGGCACTTCCATTTTCAGAAGCAATACACCTCTCAATGCTGGACATTGAGGACAAACAGTTCAAGGACTTAGCCTCATGCCCTGTTTGAGAGCTCCCCCTGTGGCTGGTGTTTGAAACACAAACCTAGAGTGCGTCCAGATGAGTGTTCATTGTGGGATCACAAGCATGCATTGGAGTACAATTTTGTGCATATCTACTCAGAAGTGAGTCTGTGGAAGTAATGCTCTGCCGCCACAGTCAGAGGCTTCTGAAAACCAAAGAAAGGGGAGCATGGTGTTGCACTCAGGTCTTGCCCTTGGGTTTTCCACAGGCATTTGGTTAGCAACTGTGAGAACAGGATGCTGTGGCTGGATGAGACTTTGGCCTGATTCAGCAAGTTCTTCTAAAGTCCAGCGGGGAAGGACTGGAAATCTCAGCTAAGTGTATATACCAGCCAAACTTGCCGTCTTTAAGTGGAAATTGTGTTTACAGACCCTGCATTCATTTCTGGCTTATCATTGGCCCAGGATTAAAATGTTATCTGAATGTGTTTTGCAGTATCCATATCGCCCTATTGTTAGCATCATCTCAAATGCCATGTGATCCAAGCCCCAAGTTGCAAGCACTTTCTCGTTACATTATCATATCCACAGCTTCCCCCCATTGTTATTCCAAATTCAGTTTCATTACCCTAATTATACTTCATTGTAACAGCTCTCAAAACTAAAAGCATCAGATTAGAGATTGCCATTTATCCTTTTTATTTAGCACTGTTAGAAACATAGTCTGCTTTCCCTTTTCCCCCCAAAACCACTTTGATCAATTTCAAACACTGCCTACTGCAACAAATCTGTTGAAGGCTGCCAGCTATAACATTCGAAGGTGCAAACTTCAATTTAGTTACAAAATAGGGGTGAGATTTATCAGCAAAAGCCCCGAAAGCCCCACGCAAGAACTTCTGCTTCTGCAAAGGGGCTTTCTTCCCTCTCCCCCCTGCATGCACCCCAAAATTGGCTTGGGGAGATTGGGAGAACCCCTGGAACTGTGTATGGGCGGGAGAAGAGGGGGGTTTTTGTTCCATCTGGCAAGCCAAAAAATGCTTCTCCTGGTACAACGAGCAGCACAGCACAAATTTGAATCCACCCCTCTGTCATATAGCTATCTATGGACTCAGCTACATTAGTAAAAAAATCAACACTTTGAATGTGTTATAAACATGCAACACCAGATGGCACCAGAGAGCAAAAAAAAATATTCTATGCAATTTTTACAAAGCTTTTTTCCCTTTTGTTATAACGATTTAATTTCTGACTTATTTATAGTGGTTTTTCATGTGTGTAGATCCACCCTATATCTATATGTATATATAAAGTATGATATTAAGGGTTGTATTCAACCCTAGTCCACTGGAATTAATGAACCCAAGTTAGTCATATCCATTAACCTCAATGGGTCTACTCTGAGCAGGACAAGCATTGAATACTTCCTAAGTATGCTAATCGTTAGCAACATGGGTGTTACTCAAAGCACGAAGGAAAGTGGGGTGTTCTAAGCAACATCCCTCATTACAGTGGTACCTCAGGTTAAGTACTTAATTTGTTCCGGAGGTCCGTTCTTAACCTGAAACTGTTCTTAACCTGAAGCACCACTTTAGCTAATGGGGCCTCCTGCTGCCGCCGTGCCGCCGGAGCACGGTTTCTGTTCTTATCCTGAGGCAAAGTTCTTAACCTGAAGCACTATTTCTGGGTTAGTGGAGTCTGTAACCTGAAGCGCATGTAACCTGAGGTACCACTGTAAGTTCCACAAGTCGCCATAGATGATATGCTGCTTATTCTACTCCTTTTTCTTCAGCAGCTGAAAGTTGTTTCTAGCCCCTCCCACAGATATATTTACTTGTTCACGTCTCTAATTACCCACGTGACAGTGTGAAAAGGTAACAATGAAGTTTAAAAGGGAAAGAAGTAAACATATTGTGCCCTTGGTTGGAGAAGAACTGGATTTTTCACAATCCTGATGTGTGTATTTATAACCAAAAGTCAGCAGAAGAGACTATAAGGTCCTCCCTCAGGTCCATGAGGACAGGCTTAGACCGACAACATGTACTCAGCATGGAAGAGTAAACCTTTCTGAGTGATCAATTTTTATATATTCAGAAGATTCCTGTTCCATAAAACCAGCATTTCCAGTTTCATTAACATCTACAAAAGAAACAAGCACTCCCAGCTCCAAGGAACTTTCTGTTCTTCCATTCAGCAAAAGACTTCATTCAGCAAAACATAGCCCCCAAGACACTGGCTACAAAATATAACCTTACAGCATTAAATGCCTTGGGTGTGTTTTTAATTAAGCATACCAACTAATAAGACAGAGTTGACACACAGGTTCTTGCTACCAGATTGGGATCAGATAAAGATCCTTAATATCTGGACAGTATCAGCCTAGCTCAGGATATAGTGAATATTTTCTCCACTGTCACTATGGACAGTGAAAACTGTGTTTATGGAAGACAATCTTACTCGGCTACGAGTGATCGCCAAAGAAGAAGAAGATAGTGAATAACATTAGAGTCCCTTTACAACTCATGCAGAAAGACAGACATAAGATAGGACCCTCTTCTAAGGCATAGATGCTGTGAGATCTCAGTCTCAGTTTATAGGTTTAATAATAAAAACGGCAACTAGTTCACTGCCATATTTTTAGAACCAGCTGTGTAAAATATGTGACAGCTTAAGTACCAGTTGTGTGGTTGCAAACAGGAGCCTGGAGTTTTGTAGGCTACAGTGCCTGGAAAGAATGTATGTATGGTAAGCATGGGGGCTTGATTTATAGCACAGAACATCAAGCCAGCTGAGGATCATCATGTTTGCAGAATACTTTATGCCCACACAACGTAACACTTCAGAAAGAAACAAAAAGCAGTCACACCGCCAGGACAAATAAGTTGAGCTAAGGACTGAGCTAGACACTTAATCCATAGCATACATTTTGTTTTTCCTAAAGAAATTACAAGCAAGCCCTGATTCTTACTGGGAGGGCAGTGGGCATTAGAAGCCTTTGAAAAAGTCCCTGTGGGGATTCTCCCCTGCCTCAATACTCCTTGTGACAATGGAGCAGGGCTGATCTCCAGATCATGGTGGGGGATAGAAGAGATAAGCCTTTCCTCCCTGCATATAGACTTCCCGTTGACTCCTTCTCTCCCACTCCTGTAATTGCTTATTCCTTTATTTAAAGTCCCCGTAGGCTAGCGGCCAGGAGACTTGTCAACCCTGAACCTACTGACAGTCAATCTCAGTCAAGATTTAAGGAAACTACAGCAGTCATGAAATTAAAAGACGCCTGCTTCTTGGGAGAAAAGCAATGACAAACTTAGACAGCATCTTAAAAAGCAGAGACATCACCTTGCCAACAAAGGTCCATATAGTTAAAGCTATGGTTTTCCCAGTAGTGATGCATGGAAGTGAGAGCTGGACCATAAAGAAGGCTGATCGCCGAAGAATTGATGCTTTTGAATTATGGTGCTGGAGGAGACTCTAGAGAGTCCCATGGACTGCAAGAAGATCAAACCTCTCCATTCTGAAGGAAATCAACCCTGAGTGCTCACTGGAAGGACAGATCGTGAAGCTGAGGCTCCAGTACTTTGGCCACCTCATGAGAAGAGAAGACTCCCTGGAAAAGACCCTGATGTTGGGAAAGATTGAGGGCACAAGGAGAAGGGGACGACAGAGGACGAGATGGTTGGACAGTGTTCTTGCAGCTACGAAGATGAGTTTGACCAAACTGCTGGCGGAGTGGAAGACAGGAGTGCCTGGCGTGATCTGGTCCATGGGGTCACGAAGAGTCGGACATGACTAAACGACTAAACAACAACAACCGATTTGGTGCCCTCTAGACTCCCACCAGCCCAATTCTTAGCAAAAGTATTTCCCGCTCTATGTGAGAAGGTCAGGTGAGGGGCTGCCACAGGTGGCCCCATCCCAGCGACATAACTTAAGAGTGCCTGAAGAAGGCCCCTATTGTGTGCAAACAAGCCCCAGTGAATTCAGTACGACTGTTTAATTAAGCACAACAAAAACAGTACATGATAAATGTAGTCCAAAGCTGAATTGGGCTGTCTGAAGAAAAGCACATATAACCACATCCTCTTAAAGCAGGCTGCATTTATGGAGTAGGTTTATACTCCACACATAATGAGGCTTGTTCCAAGTGTGAAATCAAATATGAACGTGTTTGTGACTTACAATAATTTAATCCAATTAGTAGCTGGAACCTGAATAGATAAGCATGGCATTACAGAGCGAGAGCAAGGTATGGCGTGACTAGTTACCCCATAATCTGCACCAAAGTTGCTGAAGGGCAGGATTAACGAATGCAGTCATTCCAGTTCTCCCCTTTGTTTTTCTGCTTCTAAATCATTCCAGGGTAAGGCAAGGTGTAATATGCAGATGTTCTGGAACCTGGAAAAGAATGGAACAAATATGACAAGATAATTTCCAGTAAGATGTGCATTGAAAATAGATACTTCTCAGAAGATGTTTTTCTGAGAAAAACTGAGCATATTCTTTTTCTCACACCGATAGAAAAAGAAGGCCACTTCATAGAACTTTCTCCAAAGAATCTTCACCCTATTTTTTGTGACGGCCACAGTTTCCCCTCCACAATGCCCCAGAATGATGTCCCGTCCAGGTGAAGGATGAAAAATGGTGGCCAGGGTACCAACACAGGGCTGGTGACATCCATCTGGGATATTCCAGGATGTGCCTTATGCAATTCCATTGGAACTTTATGTCATCCATGAGGAGGAACCACAATTTCCATGACAAAATATAGTCATCAACTCTCTATGCCTGGGTCCAAAATGAATGAAAGGTATCCTTCAGGATTATGTTCTGGTCAGCTCTATAACTTGTAATGCATATCTTAGACAGGATAGGATCCTGCCTAGTATATGTTCTCATCTGGAAAGTCTTCACTAGGGTCCACTCCAGATGTTCCAACAAATACTCTTCCCTCAAGGCACTCTTCAATAGGGGCTGAGTCCAGGAGTAGTAGTCTGCTCAGAGCATCAGCACTGCCATATTGACGGCCCATCCTGTAACTCCATTGTGGTCAATCTCATTGTGTAAGTACCGTACTATGCTTCACTCTTTCTGCAAAATATTTTTTGATTGGTTTCCTCCCTTTCCCCCCCAAGTCTCTGAAATACTCTCGTGTAGAGAGGTGCTCTTTATCATTTTGATCTGTGTTGGGAGTGTCCTCAATCCATGTCTTTCTTTAAGAGGTTTTTCACAGCCCTTGGGACTTTGCTGGGTGCTGATGAAACTGCACTGGGCAATCCATTGCATTAGTACCCTTTGGGTATTTATGGGTTTATGGTCTTCCTTATCTGCTGGTAAACCTAGTGCATGTCAAACTCGCTCAGATGTTGGCCTTCTCCCATCACTGTAAAATGGGGCCCCACTTGTCTGAACTTAAAGCCTTGATTGAATACGACTTTATAAATATGGATACAACCAACAGGGCGAACTAGGGATACTATGCATGTTGCCCATTCAGAAAACCACATCAGGGAGATGATGCTTTGCTATTCTAATTTCTCCAGCTCTGTTTTTGTTTTCTGTTGGAGGGCATATGGAATTCTTCTGGCTTTTTTGGGAAAATGTGGGCTGGCTGTCCTCCTGGATCTATATCCTGGCCTTCACTCCCCTCAATGTACTCAAGACCTCTTGGCAGGACCTGATAATTCCTGCTAGGGCTGGAACTTTCTGTGCATCTAATGTCAGGGCCTGGTTGGATGAGGAGGAGAGCTGGGAGCCGCCAGCCCAAGAACCCCTCAGGGAGAGCTCCAAAGATGACATCTTAGGGCCTGGAGTCTAGTGGTGGGACACTGAGGAGCAGTCAGCAGAAGAGACGAGCTGGGATAGAAGCAGAAGACTTGAGCAATCAAGTCAGGAGGAGGGCCTTCCAGGACTGAATTAGAAGCTGAGAGTCACAGTGTGTGTGCAGGCAATCTCAGTGCTGCTGACTCTCTTCCCCCTCAGACCCGCCCCCCTCTTGAGGAGGGTCCTACACATTGCTGAGGAATGCACCAGACAGGCCCAGAAGAGGAGCTCTCTCCCTTGATGCAGCCTTCATCTGCTCAGGAGGAATCCAGAGTGAAAGTCTAGAGAGGGAACGTCGTGCCTAGAGCAGTGTTTCCCAACCTTGTGCCTCCAGCTGTTTTTGGACTACAATTCCCATCATCCCTTGCCACTGGTCTTGCTAGTCAGGGATGATGGGAGTTGTAGTTCAAAAACAGCTGGAGGCACAAGGTTGGGAAACACTGGCCTAGAGCTTTGCTTCAGCAACGCCTTCATTAAGACAAACCAGGGACATTGCTATGTTGTTGTTTTTTGCTAATCAAAAGCTAATTGCATTCCGTGCCTTCTCTCTCTCTGTGTGTGTGTGTGTGTGTGTGCCTGCCCTGTGGATGAACTGGTTTGTCGATAGCTCCTTGACATCTAAATTATATGCTTCGTCCCAATCTACTAGACTCTTTCAGCCATGTTTGACCTTTCTCCTCTTACTATGAAGTCCTCCCCCCCCCCTTTGCCAATTATATGTAACAGGGACGCTTACTCATCCTACCACTGGGATATTTCCCCCAGTGTAAGTCTTCATTTCAATGAATTCAAGCCTGCTTTGCACTGTTGCTAAGTTTCTTTCTTGACTGCTCTAACAGAAACTCCTGTATCTAATCCTCCTTGCACTGGAACAGATTTTTTTTTTTTGTGGGGGGGACACAGGACATGCATAGGGGGAGTAGAACGGTATGTCCCATTGCACAAATGGAAATCTTTGCACTAACAAAGCACAGTAGTTGAATATGGCCAGGATATTCTATACAGCTTCAGTTTTCTGAGTACAATTATGCTCCATAAATAAATTAACCATGGTTTCGTTTTAAAACCTCGCAATGCTGGAGAAACAAAGATACCTCATTTTACCTCGACAAAATCCACTACATCTACTACTGCTAACAGGATTAAGAATCAGGTTTCAGAACATGGATTTCTGAAATTACACTGTGTAATTAAGCCCATATGTCATGTTCCTAATCTTTTTATCCTTGAGGTGGAGGACAAACATTTATGCAAAACAAAACTGCTCCATTAGGAAAGGCTGCCAGAAGTCCTAACCAGCCGTGATATTTTGTGACAAGGAGGGCTTGCTACATAAAACCTTCCAAATTACTTGAAATTGGGTGATTAGCTCTTCCTCTCCCAGCTTTCTTATTTGCTGGAAAAACAGATACAGCACAATAAAGGAAAATAATAGTATATGTGATCTACGTCGAACAAGCATGTTTCTTGCAAGAGGCAGAGAAAGTGGAGCAGCTGGTTGCTAATCACTTTAATTCTGAGAACGACAGCCTGTTGGACTTACTAATAATTGCTTCAGAGATGCCAAGAGATCCAACAATGTTAGTAAAAAAACAAAACCAAAGGGAGAACTGGATGCACACAATGGACACATTAACACCACATGGCCTCAGCCTAGATGGCAGTGCAAACATCACTTAGCTTCAGAGAATGAAGGCCTTCAGAGATTTCCATCCTCAACGCTTTGTAACAAACACCTTGGGAACAGAATCGTTTTTATCAGAGGCGCAAACTGAACTGATGAAGGAGCAAGCTGAAATGTTTTACTATAAGAAATTAAAATTCCTGTTTTGTTAGTCTCTATGATAAATATATGGTTTTAGTGCTTAACTGCATACTACCAGGATCTGGAAGAAACTTGCTTAAAGTGCTCCTTGATACCTTCCCCCCCCCCATTGAAGCAGAGCTACAGTATATATTTGCTAAAACCCTTGAATATCAACTTATTCCGCCATCTGGCAATGTTCCAGGAAAAACATATTTATCTGCATTGTAATTTCCTCTTTGAATCCAATTTTCCAGCTTGTCAAATAAAAAATGATAATTTTCCTTGTTTAGGTCAGAGGGAACCCCCCCCCCCACACTTTAATCCAGGAACCGATGGCTGATACTAAATATATAAGGAAATGTAAGCTTACATCAAGTTTCCTGCGAGAGTTGTATGCAAGCTCAGGATATGACCTGTTCATTTTCATAAACAGGTTATCTATATTATTCCACCATCAGTCGTTTGGGTTTATGAAAAACAGAGACTGGGCCTTCTGCCACCATCAAGTTTGGCAGTGGAAGCCTTTGAGTTCTAAGGGCCATGGGTGTGCTCAGCCCAAACTGTAGGACTGGTGGCAGTTTCATGGCCATTCCTGCTTTTGTAGGATTGGGGAGTCTAGAGGAATTTGCTTTTCCTTCCCTCTAGGTCTAAGATCAGTTCCACAGATTAAATATTATGGGCTAAGGCGGAAAGTGGAAGCCAGGCATTCTGCCACAAAAGAATCTGGCTACAGCAGGCAAGGCTGAGAATATCCTTACGGCCATGATAAAGTCAGCACAATAAGGTTGGCAGAAGGTCATCACCAGTTTTGCTGGGGCTAAGGAGATTTGCCTCACACTCTCACTAGCCTCTGGGCTCAGACAGAAAAAATGTCTGAGATGCCAGTGCTGTAATTACAAAACTAGACATTACTTTAGACTTGGGGCAATTGCTGCAAACAGAAAACATGTGCCTAACTCCATCCCTTTTCCTCTGTGGAATGTACCCATACAACATAGCTTGACCTCAAGGCTGAAGCTCTATGAAGTAATGCAGAAGAGGAGGAGGGAGGCAGATTGTGTGGTTACCACATAATGTCTTGTTTGTTTATTACATTCATATACCAGCCTTCCTCCATGGAGCTGTCTCCAATTATGCTTGTACTGTAACTTCCAACCCATTATAATGAAAATAATTAAAAAATGCATTATAGCAAGGGAAATTGCTTTGCAAAAATGTGTATATTAGGGGGAACTGCCTGCTAAAGTGTGTATGTTAGGAGAAAGTAACTGGGGTTTTTAAAAATATTTTTTTAAACGCAAGCGGATATGGAAATGTGGTGAATCAAACTCAAGATTTAGGAAATGGAAAGAAACCCATCCCTAGCTCTATAAGATTTTATAAGGTAAAGGTAAAGGATCCCTGACAGATAAGTCCAGTCGCAAACGACTCTGGGGTTGCGGCGCTTATCTCATTTTACTGGCCAAGGGAGCCAGCGTTTGTCTGCAGACAGTTTTTCCAGGTCATGTGGCTAGCATGACTAAGCCACTTCTGGTGAAACCAGAGCAGTGCACAGAAACGCCGTTTACCTTCCTGCCGGAGCAGTACCTATTTATCTACTTGCACTTTGACGTGCTTTCAAACTGCTAGGTTGGCAGGGATTCGAACCTTCTGATCGGCAAGCCCTAAGCTCAGTAGTTCAGTAGTTTAGACCACAGCGCCATCCACGTCCCCAATAAGATTTACTTCTGGGTAAATATGTACGGGACAGAAGACTTCATTCAGAGCA